GAAATAGTGCCCAGCTTTGCTTTATTTTCCCGAACGTTCGGAGAAATAGTGCCCAGCTTTATTTTCCCGAACGTTCAGAGAAATAGTGCCGGCCTTAAAAAGTCCAACAAACCAACAATACAAATACAAAAACATTGTAACATTGCCAATTATGACATATTGTTGGCAATACAAATGTACTAGACTATTTCACTATATTTCCTCTTCGAAGAAAGTTGTAAAATACTGATGTAAAGTGTCTTCCAAGCCCTACCACTAGCATCAGCGTGTATAGCAACGCGAAGCCTCGCTGTGCGGCGCAGCCAAAGGTGCCCTCAACCGGCCGCCATGTTTTAGTTTCAATTCCTCACAGCGAATCGGCGATCGCGAAGAGGGAGTTCCGCTTCTATAAGTGTAGAATTCTGTGCTAAAAAGCGAACTTTTTTCGACGTACACGCTCAGAATAAGTGTTAGTTTCACATGAGGGCAAGTTTTTCACGGATTTCATATAGAAAGGTAGGTTTAGATGGCATTTTGAGATCATTCTAATTCAGATGGACAGGTGTGATAAAAATACTGCCCAATTATCGATCCCTAGCCTAGGTCTACGGACATGCAGGCTTGAGATTTGCTGTTTGAAAAACTTTTCAAGGCTATTTTCCAAATTCTACACAGCAATTTTGTGGAAATAAGAGTTTTTGGCCTTATCCAGATGAGCTATCTGACTAGACCTAGAAAATGGGAAATGGTGTCCTTCTGAAAAGTGACGATAGACAACCTAAGATCAGTCATAAAAAATGAACAATAAAAAAATCAACAAATTTTAATGGTTTTCTAGTTTATTTGAAGCAAACACAACACAAACACAGTTTGAAAAATTGTTTATTTCAACAAAACATAAACTTATAGGCATTGAAACATCTCACCACCCCAGTGCGCATAAATTGTGAAACCTGCCATAAGTGTATGGGTCTGGATTTTAATTAGTATTTTACTTTTGTAGTAATGGTTATGAACGAACTACATATTGTACTCTGAGGGCTTTCCAGAGTTGATAAACATTAAAAACATGTACACAGATACATATTATGAGGAAACTTTCATTTAATATAAAATTTTAAAGTAAATGACAGGTCAAAATATTAATTTTTAGGTCAAAACTGAAATTTGTCATAATAGTTATGAACGAACAATGAAAGGTATTCTAAGGGTTTTCCAGTGATTAAACTTTGAATTCTTCCAACATATAACCTTATTTTGAGGAGAGTCTCATAAATTAAAACAATTTTATGTGAATGACAGAACAATAAGTTAATTTTTTGGGCCCAAAGTAAAATTTGTCATAATAGTTATGAACGAAACAGTGTGTCATAAATGGTTATGAACGAAACCTTATTCCATGTAATTTACAGTTGTTTTGAGATGTATTTTTAATTTTAACTCAACTAAAGGACAGAATAGACCTTGCATACATTTTGATATTTTGATTTTTATCATAAATGTATGGGTGTGGATTTTAATCAAAATGAGTAAATTTTTAGGTCAAAATTGAAGTTTGTCATAATTGTTATGAACGAACCATTTTAAAGGTATTCTAAGGGTTTTTCAGGAAATAAACCTTGAATTCTCCCTACATAGAGGAATCTATCATATTTTAAGGAAAGCCTCATAAATGAAAACCATTTTATGTGAAAGACAGAACAATATATAAGTAAATTTTAGGGGCCAAAAGTAAAATTTGTCATAATAGTTATGAACGAAACAGTGTGTCATAAATGGTTATGAACGAAACCTTATTCCATGTAATTTACAGTTGTTTTGAGATGTATTTTTAATTTTAACTCAACTAAAGGACAGAATAGACCTTGCATACATTTTGATATTTTGATTTTTATCATAAATGTATGGGTGTGGATTTTAATCAAAATGAGTAAATTTTTAGGTCAAAATTGAAGTTTGTCATAATTGTTATGAACGAACCATTTTAAAGGTATTCTAAGGGTTTTTCAGGAAATAAACTTTGAATTCTCCCTACGTAGAGGAATCTATCATATTTTAAGGAAAGCCTCATAAATGAAAACCGTTTTATGTGAAAGACAGAACAATATATAAGTAAATTTTAGGGGCCAAAAGTAAAATTTGTCATAATAGTTATGAACGAAACAGTGTGTCATAATGGTTATGAACGAACTTTAAATTTGTGCATAATATGCCCTAAGACCAGTTTGCGTTTAAAAATAGCTGTTCAATGGTCTTTCATTTATCACTTGACTATAATTAGACCAGAGTGTTATTTTAGACAATTCTAGTCCATGAAACTTGATATAATTGATAGTATTTTGGTCACTTACTGTTCGTTCATAACTATTATGACACAAAAAAGTAATTTTATCAAAAATTAATAAAGATTTTTATAAATTGTCAATTCTATGTATTTTTGGAAGTTATTTGCTATGTCTCAAAATATAAAATCAGCCTAGCTGAAGAAAGGAACTTTGAGTATTCATAAATTTGTGTCATCATTGTTATGAACGAACTTTTTGCTATTTCCGTCATTCAAGTCAGAATTACACCAAGACCATTGCATATACAGCTTTGGCAGTTACTGAGCCTGAAAGAGCAATCATTAGGCTATATAATATGGGTGATTAAAGAATTATTACATAAGGTTGATTTTGGACCTCATTTGTCACACCCAGGTATCCCACCTTTTGGCAAATGCTCTACAATATCATACTTGTTTCAGTTTTAGGGTTAATGCAAGCACTCATCTCTCTCTCTCTGTCTCTCTCTCTCTCTCTCTCTCTGTCTCTCTCTCTCTCTCTCTCTCTCTCTCTCTCGAATCTACATGATCTTTGTCCCTATGCAATGAGGGAAAAAAATGAGGAAATGTTAGATCTAGACTAGGCCCAATTAATTTCCACCCTTCTTTTGAAACTCCCTGTGCCAATAATATTTTGTAGTATTCACATACCATGTGCGAATATAATTTCATACACAGTATTCACACACCCTGTGCGAATGACTACCTAAATTAAAATAGTAAATGTTCACAAATCTGGTGGTTCAGGCTGTCACTGAAAGTGAGAGTGATACGGGGTGCCCTTTACGACTGGTCGGGCCGATCGCCGTACTCAGTCGCCTGAAATTGTTTTGAGTGGCTGAGTCGGGCTGACCCGCCGATCCCATCCGTAATGGGAGTCGAGAGAGGGGTAAGTCCTTTTAAACGATATGCTCTCAAGCTCTTTTGGATTTGATATTGTGCTGATTAAAAAGTGACCTTACTCTCTTGTTAATCATCCTCTTGTGAACATTTAACTTTCGGATGCTAAATCATGTGAGGCTTATTGTAGGCCCTAAATGGCTTAAACAACAAAATGTCAGAGATGTTATAGAAGAAGTATACCGAATACAATGACGATCAGTGTCCGTTACTGTCATCAGGGTCCTCTTGCTTGGCAAGGTGCCGTATGGCTCAGCAGCCACTTGCCTCCTTTGCGTACCTCATACAGGTCACAAAGGAAGTAAAGAGTGAAAATTAAGTCTTTAAAAAAAAAAGATAATAATGCTGATCTATTGAACATTTTGCCAAGACAGGCAGGCAAATAAAGTGTTAAATGAACTGTGGACTGTCATCTATTAGCTGGTGTAATGAAGTAATGTACTTATGTATTGAGGCAACACCAAAACTAGTCTCAAATTACTCCAAATTTCAGAACAAACTTAGAAATTGTTTGGGGTTTTTTTTTTTTTCTTGTGCTGTTAGAGATGTAGCAGGTCACACACGATAAATAGGTACTTGTCTTTCTCAGTGTTATAATATAAAAATTACACTAGAAAGGAAATAGAAGTGGCTGTTTGTACTGATTATCTTATAATAAAGTTGTTCCAGCCACCGATCCGGACATTGGGGATTGCCTTGTTATTGTTAGTGAGACAACTTCCTGGGCCTTCGGCATATTGTGCTAGGGTGGCCAGTTCCTTTCCATGCCGCCTTTACTTCCCCAACTCGAAGTCAGGTACCCATTACTGCTGGGTGGGCAGGAGGGGGCGAAAAAAATGCGTGTCCGAACCGAGGCTCGAACCTGGACTTCCCGCTTTGAAGACGAGCGCCCTAACCGCTCCACCATCGCTCCCTCTTATAATAAAGTACATGACTGCATTTAGTACAATCTGTTTCTGTGTTAATTTCCTTCTTTCATATTTGTTTAGAAGTATACATGTTTATATGTCATGTTTTAACATGAAATTTTTTTCTTCTCTTTTCAGAAATTAACGCAGTGGAAAATGCAGAGGCGAATTGATGACCCTCAGGTCTGTTGCTTATTTATTGTCATTGCTATACATTCATGTTTTATTGTATCTCATGGTGTTTTTAACTGTACACATAGTTGCAGTTATCTCCCCCAATTGACCTTTTGCGTGGGAGGGGGGGGGGGTGTTGAAACATGTATGTTTAGCAAATGGTTTCTTTGTCAGATTGGAAAACCGAACCATTCATCTATTCAAAATGATTTCCTATTGCTTTTAAAATTAAAAGTTTCAATTAGTTAGATAATGTATTCAGGGTGAACCTGAATTTCAACCTCGTGTTTATGACATGTGATCTGATGACCTCGTGTGAATTTCGGCATGTGTGAACAACGATCTGTTATTAGAGCTCTGGGCTGCATCAAGAGCAATGGAAGAGGCCTTGTGTTTGTATGCAGTCAGAGTCCTTATAAATGGTGCCTGTGTATGAAAAATACTCTTATTATATCTTAGCTATTTAAAAAAAACTTTTCAAAATCAATGATCTGTAAATGACACAGTGAGGGCCGAATTTTGTCATCGCTGTATCTGGTCTTCCCTCAGTCTTTCTAACTTTGGGACTGAGTACATGCTCTTGTTCGGTTTCCTCTACTTTGAGAAACCTAGACATGGCTTTGACAGTGTTCTTGCCTTTTCACTGGCCTAAATGTGTGTGAGCACTCGCTGTTGTCATTTTGGGCCCCAGGAAAATGAATGCACCCCCCTGACAAAATCATTTTAAAGTCAATTTGACAGTCGCCCTGGAACTTTTTCTCCCAAATTATTAAGTTCTCTGAGGTGTTCCTTTCTCAACTTTCTTTTTAATGTAGGTGTTTTTACATCCCTAATTTTAGGTCATTATGGATGTGGTATTTGATCTCTGCTGTCAGGGCCCACCCAGGCTGAGAGAGATACAACATCTTGGCAGAAAGACCGAGATACCCAATAGAAATTTATCCCCTCTCGGGAATCAAACTCGGATCACCTGCATGATGCAATTGCTAGGCACTTAGCCGCTACACCACAAGCCCTGGTTTCCTTTATCAAATGATTAAAACCTGTAAAGTTAAGGGAACCCCCCGGGGCAGTTCCACTGACTGTAGTGTCTTTAGACCATTCCCAAAGGGGGGACATGTCTCGTTCAAGCACAGTAGAATTGTAGTAAATGGGCTGATTCATGTCACGCTCATAACTGTGCCTGATCTACAACAGGGAACTGCTGCTTTTTCTTTCTTAATCCTTACTATTGTCATTTTCCTCTACTTCTTTTGTATGTTTGTCACTCTCTTGTGACCTGCTATTTCCGGGGTGCCTTGATAGTCGAAGCAGACCTTGTGCTGTTGAAGCTAGAGAGGTGAGCAGAATAAGTCTGATTCCCTGTAAAGACTTCTCTGTTGACACCCACCCCTTGGCGCTCATATGACCTTATGCAGTTGCGAGTGCCGTAAAACCCTCTAATATAAAAAAAAAAGTTAAGGGAAATCTTGAAGATGCTTATAAACTGAAATAAAAAATAATGGTGTTTAGTGAGTGATTACAATTTTAGATAACATGGTTGTTGCACTGAAAATTAATGAACAGCGGTGTATGTAAATACAGTTGAGACCAGCAGACTTTTACATCCAAGTTGTGTTTAGATTTATTTTTTAATTTTTAATTTTTTAAATTTTCAGCGCCGCATAAATACGAATGAGCAATTCCCAAGGGTGATTCCACCTGGAGGTCCAAGATTTGGGGAAGTTGGTGAAGGCACCTTGCCAGCAAACATGACTTTTCCAATACCAGGATATCAGTAAGTGTGTTTCTCATTGATATTTTTAAATGAAAAGTTGCTGAATTTGGTCTTTTAAGTTGGGTTTTTTTTTTTTTTTTTTTTGGGGGGGGGGGTTGTTTTACTCATTAAACCACCCACTTTCATATCATTATTTACTTATTGAAATTTTGCACAATGATGCATAAAGTCTCACAAAATGGTCTAAAATATATTTACCTTTCACCTTTGCCACTGATCACTAAATAAGCAGTCAATTCTGAAAGCCATTAACACCTACGGGACCACAGACGAAAATGCTTGCAAAAACAGACTGCTTCCCCAAGACGACGGGGCGAGTATGCTTGTGAGCTAAATGACATCAAAATAAAAGCTTGTCAATGTGTACCCAAAAGTATTCATGTTTTCATTAAATCATCGGTCAATTCCATTTTGATGTTTTCCTTCTGATTCTTGGCAGTTTAATATGGAAAGGGATAAAGTGAGTTTAAAAAGGCATTTCATCAAACCTGAGGTGCTCAACGAAATTTGCAAAGACAGACAGGGTTGACTCAGACAGTGGCTTGATAATGTATGTAGATCAGGATTCTTTAGATCAAGAACAAAGTGATGAAAAATAGATCTGGAACCAGTTATCCTTGATTGAGGAGCAATGAAACTCTATGTTGATCAACAAGGCTCCCCATTACGCACAAATGTGCGTATATTACGCATCAAACCCGCAGATTACCCCCTTAAAGTTTTGGTTGTGCGTGAGTTTTACCCGTTATAATTTCATGTCGGGGGTTTGAACACGCTTTGAAACGTTGGTTGGTGTGCGTCTGGCAAGCATCATTTTCCCCCTTCTCTATCCAGAAACCGAGTCAATGATTTGACAACACACCCACACACATGCACGACAGTCGCCTTCTGTGTCAGAAGTCGACTTACTTATCAGCTGTTCGCAGTTTCCGGCAACACCGGCTGGCTTCAGCACAGACGCTCCGTCCACATTCTGGTGGCTCATATTTGCCGGTGTCATGCGTTGAGTTTACCCCTGCCGTGAGATTACCCCCATCCTTCTTTAACACACTAGTAAACATGAATTGTCCGCCATCGAAAGTGTGGAAAGACTGAAATGTGAACCCTGGGATGGCTCTGAAGAATAATGAATCAGTTTACTTTCCAAACCTGCCGCTCATCCCTGCTCTAAATCTCAAGCATCCCGATTTACCCGATTTTGATTGCGTGTACCCCGATTTAAAAAAAAAAATTTTGTTCCGTCGGTAGCGTCGGATTTTTCTAAAATTTTACTCTGCCTTCTTTAATGTCGTGGGGAACACTCGTTAAACTTTTTGTCAGCACTATTTTCCAAAATGTCTATGCCGAATTTTGTAGTTGATTCACCAAAAGTTGTGTTGGATCTGTGCTCACACGTGTTATTTCAACTATAATGGAAGTAGTATTGATTTGGCATTCTCAAGATCTACTTTCGCCAAAACATGCTTTGTAAACTTTGTTCGAGTTCTGGTTAGTCGGGCCCGTCATCAAAACCCTTCAGTAAAACTTTCAATCGTGCTTCACGTGACAGGACTTCGGCGTGTGAGTTCCGCGTGTGTCAGGAACCGTCCGTTGATGTGGTCAATTTAAGTTCATGCGCACCAGTTGAAGCGTCTTTCGGGACTTATCCGGATGTGGGGACGCGTGTAAAACACTTGGACTAGGGGAGTTTGACGTGATACTTCAGGATTTAACAAAAAATAATGATAAAACACACAGGCACAGACACACAGGCACACACCCACACATACACCACACACACTCGCGCGTGCACAGAGGTAATTTAGATGATATAATAATGGACACCCCTGGGAATTTTTTAAGTCAGCTTGGCAGTGACCTGGGTGATTTGTCTTTGATCTCGATTTTTTTTCCCCAAGTCACAATTTTTTCCCCACTGAGATCCTGACTTAAAGATTTCATAGAGTGGCAGGCCTATATTTTTTCTAGGTGCATTACAGTCGGAATTGACTCCTTTTGGTTTGTCAACTTTATTTTATTTTTGATAGGCCCAACTGCTCAACCACCACCACTCTCCCCCCCCCCAAATGGACACAACTCTAATTCTAGTCAATATTACTCATTTATTTCTTAAGTTAATTAAAAATTGTTCGCATTCAATTATAAAAGTCATTGTCACTCTGTGTGTGTCTGTGTGAATGTGCGTGTGAGTTAAATGTTTACAAGCAAAAAATGTTACAATAAAATTATGATATATTTACTTTTACCCTTTAAGTTTCTAAAACAAGGGTTTAAATACCCCTTAAGATAGTAACCCAAAGGGTGAAGGAACCTCCTAAGTTGGCCTGAAAAGGGGAGCCCTGGATCAAGATCTAATATTTTGTCCCTGTCAAGAATGGACTCTGGACAAACGCTTACTAAATGACATAATTGATTACTCCTAAATGATTAAAACCCAAATATTTTATCAATGAATATATGGCATAGGTAAACTTATCCTAGTTTGGTGAAGTTTCACATCTATAATTTTACTAGATGTAGAGTTATTGATATTAAAGTAACCTATCCAGTCCTTACTTACTTTTACTTTTTCTTTCCTCTGGTATCCTTAAGATGTCGAGGGGAGGTGCAGGTTTCGGTCCTGTGCTAGGTGTGTAGCGTCTGATAGATATGTTATTTTGTTCCAGGTCCTATTTAACCCCGTCCAGCCAGGTCTTTCTTGGTCTCCCTCTTGATTTGAAGCGGGATTCTCGGGTGTTTTAAGCTCTAGCCGCTAGTTGTTTCTGGAGCATTCTGGTTAGATGTCCTAGCCATTTGACTCTTTGACACTCTATGAATTTTATTTCTGGTGGTATTCCAGTTTGTAGACGTATAGTTTCATTTCTTATGTGGTCTCTTCTGGTGACGTTGGTTTTGCGGAGACACCTCATTTCGCAGGCATTGATTTTTCTTTCTTGTGATTGTGCCTCGTTAAAAGACTGTGTTTGGCACTGGTATGTTAATGATTGTATGAAGATGATATTGATGAGCTGGGATTTCACTTTGGTTGGGATGTTCTTGTGACAGAGCAGGGGTGCTAGCTGGTAGGTCACTGCATTTGCCTTCTCAGTTCTTGTTTCTATTTCTTTGTCCATCTTGTGTGAAGATGCTTCCTATATATTTTTAACTTCCTCTACTTGTTGGAGTTGCATTCCGTCAATAAGGATGTTGAGTGTCCCTGGGTTTCTGCTGACCTTCATGACTTCTGTTTTTTGAGATGAAGCTCCAGTCCTGGGGAAGTGAAAGTCGAGTGGGAGGCTGGTTCAGTAGGTGTTAAGTAAACCAGGTTGGTGTGCTACTTGAGTAGTTTAGAGGTTTGGGTTTTTTTGTGGGGGGGCATAGTTTATGGATAAAGCTAATGATTAGAATCTGCATTTTGAATTTGAGCAAAGTTTAGAGATTGTGGCAAAGGGAATAGTAATGTATTCTCCTTGTTTTTCTATGTACAGTCGAACCTGCCTTGACGGAAACCTGTCATAACGGAATCTCCCCGCTCCCCCCTTGATATATTCCTCTTTAATTACCTGTATAAAACGGAAATCTGTCCAAAGCGGAAATGGAAAGAAAAATCCGCTCCCTTCCGAAGGTTTCACCTGTCTAAGACGGAAAATGCTTTGCCCGCTCAGCCCTGATTTGAAACAAAACTTGCAAGTTTGGTTCCACCGGCTCTAAACTTAACGCTATGGCCATGCCGCTGAGTGAGGAAGGGGAGTAGGGGTGCAATTTAGGGGTTGATGTTACCCCATCATGTGAGTCCTGAGCGATGTAGATGGTCAGAGTAGTGTGGGTGTGAAATCTCATGACTGCCCGTGAGAGTGCTTGAGTAGCGAGCCACTACGGAAACTTTCCTTGGTAGCCAGAAGCCAGAGGTGTGAAATTAGATTGACCAATGCCTACCGCACTGATCGTACGGCCAGTCGAGAAAAGAGTTCCTCGAATCATTGTTACATGATGGCAGTGAGGGGTGGCATTGGTGGGTGGGGCTAGGGGTGGAAGCAAAGGAGAATGATGTCAAACGTTTCTGTTTTTAATAGGTCAAACAGTGGTCCTATGAAAGACAAGCACTGGTGGTAATTGGATAAGTAAGACTGATGCATGTCATTATCAGACAGGATAGCAATTGAGAGGTGTGCAGTTTTGATCACTGCTTTCCGATCGGACAAGCGATCCTTGATCCCACTGGCTGGGCCTTTGAACCACCCCCTCCACCCCCCTCCATCTCCCCCTAAATTCCCCTGTCTAAGACGGAAAATGTCTAAGACTGAATTTTTTTCTGGCTCCCTTGCGATTCCGTCTTACACAGGTTCGACTGTATTTTCCTTGTTTTTCTGCTTAAGGGCAATGTAAACATAGCTTGTTTTTAAATTATTAGTCGGTATCATCCCTACAGATTGAATCAGCCAACAAGCCACCATGGCCCAGTTCCAGCATCTCTTTCTCACCCGGCTGTAGGACTGGGTGTCCCAGGGTCCACTGGGGCAACATCTCAAGCTCTTCACACTCCAATAGGTCCTGGACATCAGCCTAACATACCAACCAATCCGGTGAATATTAAGTCATTTAAGAAATATCATGTTTTGCACTAGTTTAGTTGAAGGCATAGTTATTTAAGGATTATTTCTGCCTACATCTGTCTCTGATCTGGGGTTTAAAAGTAATAAACTAAACAACTGCCACAACAGCCATGAGATTTTTTTAAAAAGATGGTAATGGAGTGGACACACACTCAGGAAGCCAACCCACAAAGTGACATGACAAAGCCTTAAAAAGAACCCCCAGAGAAAAAAAGTCGAAGGCCCAGATCCACCAGTGAGCGACATCAGGAGGCAGATCTCGGGCATATGGTCATTGCTGACTGAAGCTGGAGAAGATCACCCCGAACAGAGACAGGCTTTTGTGTGGTTTGCTCCTTCTTTCCCATCAAACATCTATCATCCTTATCTCTCCTCTTTTTTGTGTTTATTACTCTCTTGTAACACCTGTGAGCTTTGACATTTATATAACCTTATTGTGTTGCAAGTGGCGTAAAACTTTCTCATTAAAATTTAAAGTTTTGAATTACTTGAAGTCTGAGCAAAACTGCATAACATTCGCAAGGTGTGTATCGTTTTGCCTATGTTGTTTTACTATGTTGGTGATGTCAGGGTGTCTTACTGAATGAAACCAAAGTTCTTGAAATACAGTGCGAGTTACGTGGTAACGGTTGTGGTTTCCCCTTATGCTTTTCATTAGAGCAGAGTTAAAAATAAACTTATTCTCTGCTTCCAGGAATAGCCTCATTTTTCTTCCTTTTTTTTACTCCGATGTCTTTTTGTGATACACAGACCTGCCATTAAAATCAGATCCCTCAGGCTTTGTTGTTTTTTATTCCCGCCATTAAAGAACCCCAATCAGATTTGCAGAAAGTCCTTTTTTTTTTTTTCCACCTCTTGAATTCTATTTCTGTCAGGTTATATTCGTATGTGATTATTGTAAATGATGTGATAATACACATTTTTATTTGTGTGTATTTACAATACATAGACCTGCATGTTTGCCGACAATCGTCTGAAATCCGACAATCGCGACCTGACCCGCGAACCGGCCGATGCTATCGCTAGGCCCGGCTGTATCAGTCAATGTGCGTAGTGCGAGCCTTGGCCGACTGCCAGCGACCCCTTTTTCTCCCGTCGGCTTCGTCGGCACGTTCGTTTTCGTGCCGACCGCCGACGCGCGCACCGCCGACTGCCGACGTCGGCGTTTCCGACATAATTGTCGGAACCTAAGTAGAAAAGCGAATACGAAAAAGGACAACTTAAATTATCTAGGCCTACTGTACTTTCAGTTTCGTGCTCGAGCGGCCATTTTGAATTTCGTTTGTTGACTAATTCAATTGTTCAGATCGTGTGGATTCATCCAAGTCCGACTCTCTTGCTCTAATAGAATCTAGATCTAGATCTAGATCTAGATTTATATAGATCATTATAGACCTCAATGGAGGATTCATATTCCAATTCTATTGTGTCAAACCCTATCATAGGTTGTGCTGTAATATTAATATTGGTAAAAATAAGCACTTCATCAGGTGCATGAATTATTTATTTATTTAAATCTAGAATCTAGACTCAGCTGGGTCCCTCTGTTTGGAATCGGATGCAGATTTCTAGTTCAAGGCCTATTCCTATTCACTTGTTCTACAAGATCTAGATCTAGATCTAGTTTTATTTAGATTGCTAGATCTAGAACTATATAGAGTATTCATATATGATATTCCAATTCTATTGTGTTATTGTATCAAACCCTATAGCAATGTATGTAAGCCATATATAGATCTAGATCTAGATTATATTCTCCTTGTTTGTTTTGGAGTGTGTTTTTTTAAATTTTTTTTTTTTTTAAATTTAGGACTTGTTTTGGCCTTTTTACATGAGGCCCGCTGCAGGTTCTTTTTGGGGGTAGGGTTAGGGTTAGGTCTCTTCTTTATTACAAGTGTTTGTTGGGGTGGTCGCTCGTTACTCGGATGTCCTTCCTTATGACACCCACAAAGGCTTTTTTTTTGGGGGGGGGGGGGGGGGGGGTTGCGCAAAATTTTCAGACAATCTGGTTGAGGCTCACATGCAGGTCTAAATACACATTTATTTGCCAGAGTTGATTCTTTATGTAGTGTTAATTTACTGGGGCATTGGAGACTGATTTTTAAAAAAACCTAACTCAGGTTTTTTGAGTGTCTTAGGTCATAGAGTGTTTGGCAGGTCTGGATGCAAAACTTGTTGGAGAGTTGGAAAATGAGTATATCCTGGGTGAAAAGATTTATATAACGCGCAGAGATTTAACAATAAGCAGCTGCTTCTGCAGTATTTTCCCCTTCATCTCAGATTCTTATTTGATGAAAATCAGGCTATACCTGGACCAACAATGGCTGGAGGTCAGCAGCAACAACAGCAACAGCAGCAGCAACAGCAACAGTTTCAGAGACTGAAAGTGGAGGATGCTTTATCTTATCTGGATCAGGTACAAATGCCTTCTTTTATTTGGAAAATTTGTGTTTCTCTGTAGCTTTTTAAACTAGTTAAAATCAGCATGATTACAGAGATGCAGCTCTAATCTACTGGTCAGACCAACTTCTTTAACGGCCATCCCTGGGGGGCACCAGGTCACTTGGCAGTCAGAGCATGTGCTGCATGAAGTCCTGGAAATGTGTGTTATTGCGGTGGATGCCGTGGGATTGTGTTGAACGATAATGGAAATAGTGCCCTATCTTTTATAACGCCAACAAACTTTCTATAAAAAAGTGTTATGAATACATGAATAGCCCCCTCTCACAAATTGATAAGTCACTATGAGTGATTACGCCTATTCAAATAGCCCTTTTAGATGCTATTGTTGTTATAATCGATTTTGGGTTGGAAAGGGAAACAAAATATAGGTCGATTTCCGAATAAATTTTTCTTTCTAGTTGCACAAAAACTGCCAGTTTACTGCCCTATTCCTGTAGTCCTTATCGCTTCCTAGTAAACTGGCTGTCTTTGTTCCTGACTCGCCTAGCTTGACCTGGACATATTCTAGAAGTAAGTTTAGAACCATGTATTTTGTTGTTTGTAAAGCTTAAGTGTCTCCAATTCAATATAGTGCCTTCACTCTTTTTTACAAGGTCAAGCTACAGTTTGGAAATCAGCCTCAAGTTTACAATGACTTCCTCGACATCATGAAAGAGTTCAAGTCCCAAACGTAAGGTTTCACTTACATTTTTTGCATCTCTGAAAATGAACAATGTTTTTTTGTTTTTATATTTAAGTTATATCTGGGGATGATGTAGATAAAATAGAGGGGGATGGGGGTGTTACTAGAGAAAGATGTACTGACAAATGAAAATTACAGAATGATTAAAAAAGAATGACCGATTTCAATACACAATATTTTAATAAGGAAAAGCAGAAAACTCAAGCTCAGTCAAAGTGATGTACTTGCAATCAAATTTTATTTCATATCTTAGGAGTGTTCAATGTGGCCATCACCAGGAGCACAGGCAACATCAATGCAAAAAGAGAATTCATCCCAAATGCATTTCAACATATCACGGTCCGCTGAGTTGATTGCTGTCATTTGATATCTAAGGTCATGGAGAATAGTGGGTAACGGTGGGACATAAACGCGACCTTTTATGTCCCCACATGGAAAAAATTACACAAAGTGAAGTTTGGGGATCTGGCGGGCCAAGCACAGAGAGCACAGTCTTGGGACTGTTTTCCTACCAGTCCATTCTGAGGCACTTTTTCATTTAAAAATGCTCAAACTATCACATGCCAATGGAGTGGTGCTCCGTCTTGTTAAAAAATGAAGTTGTTAAACACAGTGCTTCCAATGACAATTCCGTACGTGCTCTCCTATCGTTATCAACTCGGTCCGTAAAAAAATTTGAGACAGCGTTGGGCTACCAAAATTCCGAGGCAAAGGATCTGTACTTGCCTTCATATCGTCTTGTATAAGTTACGGATATTTACAGTAATTCTTTCTACGATAAGTTGATTTTAATGAAACCTGCCATATTGCACTTTTGCTGCAGTCAGCCATTATCTCACTATGCATTAATTGCGGGATGATCGGCAATACAATTTACTTGCGAATTGATCTAAATCTGGCTATCTGTGGTAGCGAACTTTTTGTACCAGTTTCCTCCTTTTTTCTGTCCCTCATTCTCTCTGTCTTTATTCGGATTGTTACCCTGGCTATGGTTGGAAAATCTGCATGTTGATCATATAAATTGACTTGGAATTTTAGTCAGAAAATCACTATCAGAAAGAAACAATTTTGCAAATATGTCTCGTTCTAGTGGAATTGTCAGTGCAATGATTCTACGGCAGCGTGATATAAAGACCGCGATGAAAGACATTTATGCTAAAACTACAAAAGTCAAGAATAATTCGAAGTGGTGTTCCGAGGTTGCGACATTCGAAATTCAAGCGCGAAAATGGAGGAAAATTTGGGAATACGCTGGGTAATCTATGCTTGTGTCAGGGTACATGTCTATTCTTTATTCCCAGGTTTGCTTTCTGTCAATGGTGCGATGACAAATTAATTAAATTATTGTAGCAATGGCAAGGGGTACCTACTTTTAAAACATTGCCAGCATTTGAAAGATTTGCATGTGGAGAAATGAAACGGGACGAAATCTTCGTGAAAAAATAGGTGTTATGGGTTGTTGGCAATCTCTTCAAACAGGCTCGCAAATGCCATTTTCAGTTTTCTAAAGGCACAATTTCTTCGGGGGCTGTCCCTGGACCCTGATGGGGGCCTTAGCGGCCCGAGACCCCCGACAGAATTTTCCTTACTTTTCAGCTTCAGCTGTTGGAAGCACTGAAACAGACCTTCCACTATCCCGATTTTTTGCCCCAAATCTCAAGCATCCGGATTTTCCCTATATCGATCACTGTATCTCGACTTTTTGGTTCCATCTGTCACGCCGGATTTTTCTAAAAACTTATTCTGCCTTCTTCTCCGTTGCGGGAAACACCCGTTAAACTTTTTGTCAGCAGGAACTCTGAGCATTATTTTCCAAAACCTTGATGAGGACTTAGTGGTTGGCTGCCCCAAGTTGTGTTGGAACTTTTGCTCACACATGTTATTTCAAGTATAATGAAGTAGTATTGATTTGGCATTCCAACCATTCTCAAGATCTTCTATAATTTTTTTGTTTTCACTCAGAATTCTCCAATGATGGCGTGATAAGTTTCAATTGCGACATACAAATGATTATTCATAGTTCTGCTGTTACTTTCAAACTTTCAAAACAAGCTTTGTCCTGATTTTTTTTACTCTGAAATCCTGATTTTTTAATTTCATAGAGTGGCAAGTTTGAATGCCTCATAAAACAGATTCATTCTTTTTTAATCATTCTGTAATTAAATCAGTGCTTCTAATCTTCCATATTTTTATGGAAACAGTACTTTCTGTGGCCCCCAGCAGAATTTTCATTACTTTTCAACGTCAGCTGTTCGAAGAATTGTTAAATGGTTTAGATTCTTTATAAATGTTACTTGTCTTTTATGTTTGTTTCAGTTCAGTGATGTCTTCTGTTTACAATGAATCTTTGTGGGTAAATAAATGAATTTTCTCTAACTGGAAGTTTGTTTCAGTACAAAATGGAAATATTGAACTTTTGTACCAAAGTTAATATAACTGTAACTTGACACATCACTGACATTTGTTTTAGTAGACATATTTTTATGTATTTTTTCGGTTAAAGATATTCTGGTCGATTCCCCAGTATCGACACTCCAGGAGTGATCAACCGAGTGTCCAACTTGTTCAAGGGCCATCCTGACCTCATTGTTGGGTTCAACACTTTCCTGCCCCCAGGCTACAAAATAGAGGTTCAGTGTGAGACCATTAATGTGCATCAACCAGGAAAGCAAGTCATGTCTATTG